CCCCCCCCCAGGGGGAATGACCACGCTGCAGTCCCTTCTCCTCCATTCTCCTCTTGGGATCTTGGGCAAGCACGCACATGCGCCTGACGTGAGTTTAAGCCACAGGGTCCGGGACTCGAACTACGGTCGACTACATGGGAGTCCAGCAACATAGCCATTACGCCAACTGCTGGTCCCACCACTTTACTCTTTCTCTAGCTCTTTCTGACAAGCACATGTGCCTTATAGCAAACTATAAAAATGAAAAAGAAGAAAAAAAATCAAGAACTATTTTTATATGGTACATCTACATTTTAAAATTCTAAAGGCTGTCTTTAAGTTGCTTTTGCATATTTAATAAGGAGAAAATGTTCATGATATAATAAGAATGGTAAGCAGGATAAACATTGTGATCTCAGTTGAAGATAAAATGGAGATTTTATATATATATATATGGAAAAAAACTGGAATGAAATATCCTTGAATTTTAGGAGTGATTTTTAAACAAACAAACAAACAAATGATGCCTAATGGGATTTCTTAGGAAAGTTACCTTGTGATTCTAAATTTTTCTCATGTCTTTTTTTGTTTGTTTTAGTTTTACTTTTGGTTTTTGCCGTATGGCATGTATGCTTGCTGGAGAGAGACAGAGGAAAAATGAGAAACCACCTCCCCACAGGGCATGACCGTGTGGCTGTCCCTTCTCTTCTCTTCTCCTCTTGGGATTCCTCTTGGGATCTTGGGTGTGCACACATACCTGCCCAGTGTGATTTTTACACTGCTGGGTCTGGGACTTGAACCATGCATCTTAACTACCATGACACTTGCTGACTCCACTCACGAGATTTTTTTCAAAATGAGATTTACTATCTTCTGTATTGAAGATCTGGCTGCCCAAAGGTACTTGGGAATCTTGTTTTAGACTCCTAGAGAGGAATGAGCTTGATTTCCTTTCCTATCAAGGTTTAGTGTGGCTTTAGTATCATCATGATCTTTGTAAAGTGTAGGTTTAAAATAACTTGGAATCACAGAGTTGTTCCCCCATTGAACTTTCATTATGAAAATATTCAGACATAAGGAAAAGTTGAAAGAACTTTACAGTGAGCACTTCCACTTCCTAGATTTTGCTACACGTTGGGTATCCCTTATCCATAATTGTTTTTTTGTTTTTGTTTTTGTTTTTTGAGAGGTTTTTCGCTATAGGGCATGTGCGCTCGCCAGACAGACAGAGAGAGACAGAAAGCGAGAAATCACCCTCCAGGGGGGATGGCCATGCCACAATCCCTTCTCCTCCATTCTCTCGGGATCTTGGGCACACACGCACACAAGCCCCGTGTGAGTTTTAAGCCACCAGGTCTGGGATGCAAACCGCGGTCGACTACGTGGGAGTCCAGTGACATAGCCATTACGCTAACTGCTGGTCCCTCCAAAAATGTTTTGACCAGAAGCGTTTTAAAAAATTCCAGATGTTTTTTTGTTGTTGTTGTTTATTTTGGATTTGCATATATATTTGTGTGTACATGCATACATGCATGTATATGTATGTATATATAGAGAGACATATATTGCATATGTCTGTGTGTGAAAATATATATATACACAAACACGTATATATAAAGTATCTTGGGAATGAGATTTGAGTCTAAACATGAAATTCATTTATGTCTCATATATACTTTATATAGGTAGCCCGAAGATAATATAATACGATATTTTTGTATTGCAATGTTTTGACTGTGATCTGTCAGTTGAGGGGCCAGCATGGAATTTTCAACTTACAGTATCATGTCCGCGCTCAGAGGTTTTGGATTTTGTAGCATTTCAGATTTCACATTTTCTGATTAGGGATGCTCAACCTGTATTAACATTTTACATGCACTTCTAGGTAAGTTGTAGACATCAGCTAAGTTTTCCAGAATCGTGAAGGCTTAAGAGTGAGTTTTAAGCTTTTTTTAAAAAAAAGATTCAAAACTGAAATCTTACATTGGTACCACACAGAGAGCTATCGCGGGTGCCTAGCTGGTGGAAGGCGGAAAGGAGGTCCAGAGTCCTCCCTCCGCCTTTTCCCCACCTCCCCGCTTTGTTAAGGTGTCTTCCACACAGCTTGAACATGTGCACTGTGACCCACCCCCTTCTGCCGCCTCAAGGAACCTGGATTCAGGGGTGTGAAGTAACTTGCTCCAGTTGGAGAGCAAGTTAGTGCTGAACTAGGGACTGGATCTGAGTCTCCTGATTTTGATTGCTGTGAATTTCTGACACGGGATAAGAGCCCTAACCTGAGAGGATGAGTTGGATGATATGGATAATCATATTATGACTTAATGTTTTAGTGAAGAATCATAATTTGAAGTAATTTGGAAATGTTACACTATGTGTAAATGTGTATATTATAAAAGCTCCATCTGCTCTTGTAAGTTTCTTGGTTTAATTTTAAAATTATTTTGAAATAAAATGAGTAGGTTTAAAAACCCACAGTTAATTGCCTGTAATTACAGTATTACATTAAGTAAAATTTACTTCTGCAGCCTGGAAATGCATTAAAAATCAGAGTGTTTTCATTCTCTTTGTAATTGTTATTTCTGATTATGTAGAATATAATAATTAGCACATGGTATCATCAGCTATGAAAAAAAAAACTCTTTTTTTTTATCTCTTAAAAATCCAGTGAAAAAGAGGAGAAACTGGCACAGGCACGACTACACAGAAATCGATGATGGTTCCAAACCAGTACAAGCTGGAACTAGGACTTTTGTTAAGGAATTACGTTCTCGAGTCTTCCCAAGGTATGAAGCTTATTCTAATCAAAGAAAATTTTAAGAACTTGGTCCGACATTATTTAAAGCTATGCATTATACATTTGTAAGTAACTCTGTTACAGGCATCATGCCGTAGAAATGTCGTATATGTGTGCGTCCTGGGTCACCAGTAGAGTGCTTGGCTGTGGTCCCCAGCCCACACAGTTTGACAAGCAGGAATCCGAGGTGTTTGTACTCAGTGCTTAGTTCTTATGATATGCTTCTGCTTCTCCTCTGTTTCTTCTGCCTCCCTCGGTTTTCCTGTTTCCTGACTCTGATTTTTTTTCCTCATGTTTTCCTATCTGTTTCTACCCTAGGTCTACCATACTCACACACAGCCGCTGCCAGGCCTGTGGCAGCAGCGAGATTGCGCTTTTTGATTTTGAAAAAAATAGTGGAACGTATTTGAGTTGTCTGTATTGCAAAGAGAGTCAAAAGCATAATAAAGCATTTAATCATGCTAATTTAGATCATTTCCTACTCACTGCCTGACACCTATTTAAACTGATAACACTTAATAGGCTTTTTACTCAAGGTCATACCCAGGCTTGTTAAAGGGGAAGCACAATTTAAATTTGAATCACAGTATCACATGCGGGCTATTACAGAATTACTTCAGGTCCTGAAATGATAAAACCCTGCTGTCCTCAGTCTTCAGGATGGCTGTCTACCCCTTTACCCCAGAAACAATGATAAGCGTCTATTGTTAGCTCCCTCAGTTGGCCGAGAGACAGAAGGAAAACATATGTGTTTTCTCATAATTTTTGTGGTGCTAAATGCCCTGTTTTCAGATATTCTTCTTTACCAGTTTCAAATCATAGGAGAAATGTTTGCTTGTGGGTTTTCTTTTTATTGGATAACGCTTGATTTGTTCGGTGTCTATGCCTAGAGTTTTCAGTCTAGGTCTATTGGTGGACCTCAGAGAAGTTTTTGAACTTCCTAAAACTATATGTACAATTTAGTGTTAGGGTGTGAGCATGCATTTTTCGGAGAGAGGAGCCATAGCTTTCATTTTCCCAATAGGCTTGTGGCTCAAAAGACAGCATTAAAAGCCCTGACCTAGGGCCGGCAGTAGCATGGTGGTGAAGGCGGCTAGATCCCCCATGGCCGGCTGTATGATCTGAATTCTGGAACTGCAGACTAGAAAAACACACTGGACACATGTGAGTGTGTGCCCAGAATCCCGAAAGGAGATTCTGTCTCTTCCCAGCAAGCACTGACAAAACATCAGCTTAGGAATCATATGTGCTTTGTTTTGTTTGTTTTGTCACAGTGAGCACGATGAGAACAGGTCATAAAGTGATCACAAACACCTGAACTATGATTACCATTAATTAAGGATCTCTATTTGTTTAAAGATTAACTTAATTTTATTTATTTTTATTAAGTTTTAATTTGATATAGGGCTTGCATGGTCACAAGAGAGAGAGAGAGACAGAGGCAGAAAGAAAGTGAGAAAGGAAGCTGCCAGGTCTGGAACTCACACCTTGGTTGGCCATGTGGGAGTCCTAAATTTCACAAACTTTTATATCCCTTAAAACCATTGTGGAGTAACGGTAATCCCCAATTTATACATACTTGATATGATCAACACCGCAGTGTATAAAATAAAGTGAATGGGTTATCTTCCCCCTCTACTGTTTTAAAACTTCATATAAGTATTAAGACCTTTTTCTGCATAAACACTAACATTGAAAGCATATATATATATGTGTGTGTGTGTGTGTGTGTGTGTATATACACATGCGTACATATACACACACATATAAATGTATGGATGTATTCATATAATTAAAAAAATAAAATGGGTTGGGACCAGCAGTTAGCATAATGGCTATGTCACTGGACTCCCATGTGGTCGACCATGGTTCAAGTCCCAGACCTGGTGGCTTAAACTCACACCAGGCACATGTGTGTGCGCACCCAAGATCCTGAGAGGAGAATGGAGGAGAAGGGATTGTGGTGTGTGCATGTCTCCTTGGGGCTGATTTCTCACTTTCTGTCTCTCTTTTTCTTTCTGGTGAGCACACGCACCTTATAGCAAAAGCCTCTCTAATAAATAAATAAATAAAATGAGTTTATATTATGCATAGTTTTGGGACTTGTCTTTCTTACTGCATTATATTTCATAGATATCCTTCTCTATGTATGCATAGGTTTACCTCACTCCCTGAGTACTGTGTAGTATGCAAGACTGTATATATCAGTATTTGCTTAACCATTTATATGTGATGTATGTTAGTTTGTTTTCAATTTTTTTCTCTTTAAAATTTTGTGTCTCTATTTTCAGCATTTATACCTATATATTTTTGATCAACAGACTATGCAAAATATCAAACATATGAGATCAATATATATCAGCAATACAAATTTTTTTCCAAAATTGGGGTGTAATCCTCAGAGGTTGGGAGAAGTAGGGACAATTGTGACTATTCTTTGTAAAAGCTAGAATGGGTATAGAGCCCAGCGTAGTAGAAGAGTAAGATGAAGGAGCCCCAAGCTGCCCGCGTACAGGACAGCCTCGACAAGGTCTGACTTCGTTTCTGAGGCCTCAGACCGACCTTGCCTTAACAAGAGGATAGGAGGGTTAGAGCCCTAGAAAACTTGGATGTCCCTTTCTCCTGTCTTTTTCTTGCCCTTTAGGCTGCAGATAACATCAAACAGTTAAGATCTGATTGTATAATACAATGGAAACTATTATGTTTTAACCTTTAAAGCAAGTGTTACCCTTAATTTTGACAGTTCAGCAGCTGCATCTTGTGAGCAGTTGGGAGTTAAGATCTAGAATACCTTATTAAAGTGATCTGGAGTTCTTTGGGTTTATGGTTGGATAGAGGGGAATGACGAGAGACAAATCATGCTTGAGTGCAGTGCCTATGACGCGTTGATCATCAGAGAGGGCAGCTGGAAGTCCAACTCTTTATGCTGGCTTAAAGTGACCACTTACTATTAAAATGTATTAAATACTTGGTATCAGAGATGGTTTAAGTCAGTGGTTATCAGTGGGGCACTGGTCTCAGTGGACCAGGGATGGCAATCCCTCCCCACACAGCATGTAGTGCAGCAGCTAGCTGTCTATGTCCTGCAGACCTTGAAGTGTTTAACTGATGTTGGTGTAGAATTTGTAGTCAGATAAAATCTGATCTGTTTTTACTTTCCCTAACACTAGTTTTTATTCTAATATATACTTGACTTTTTGCTTTTCTAGTTTCTTACAAAGCTTATGTTGAATAGCTTCTAATTTTTTTACTGCTGTGAAATTCAGACATTTATTACAATTAGTTTTAAGCATCTTATTAATTTATTACACCTTCTAGCCAGAACAATTACGTATTGAAATGTGTATTTTATCATAAAGTAGTTTGTTTCTGTCTCGTGCTCTTTTCCCCCTATTTTTATGATAGAAAGCCCATATATGTGCAGGGGAGACAGAGGGGCTGGGTGGAAAGCAAGCACCCTCGAGAGGGTCTCCTCACACCATGATCTCCTGCCAGCCCTCCAGCTCCTCAGGATCCTGGGTGCCAGCCTGCCTAGCACGTTTTTCAGACTACCTAGGATCTGAATTGTGGTCGTCATGTGGCAGCCCTGGGGCTAGGGTTACCACTGCCCCACATTGGCTGGGCCCATTTTTTCTTTTTATACATAGAGCATTTTATATATTTTTTCTAATTATTTGTATTGAATTGAGTAGATTATATTATCTATGATTTTTACTTTAGGATGGGAGAAGGGGCTTTAAACATTTGTTATTAAAAGGAATTAAACCAGGCACAGTAGCACACACCTGTAGTCCTGGTTACTTGGGAAGCTGAGGCAGAGGATCATGAGTTCAAGGCCAACTTGGGCAACATGGTGAGACCCTGTTGCTAAAAAAAGGAGCACTAGAAATAGGTTGAGAACCACTGATCTATGGTATATGAACTAACCCATTATCACAGTTATTTTTTTAAACAACTTACAAACAAAGCGACCTTTTACTGTGTTTGTCCTTAGTGCCGATGAAGTCATTGTGAAGATGCATGGCAGCCAGCTGACACAGAGATACCTGGAGAAACACGGATTCGATGTCCCCATTATGGTTCCCAGATTAGATGACCTCGGACTCAGGCTCCCTCCACCCACCTTTTCTGTGACGGATGTGGAACGTTATGTAGGTACGAACTTGATTTCTTTAAGTACCCGGGGAAGCATGGTAAATATACAAATAACAACATCCTAATCACACTAAAAGGTGAATGAAGAAAAGTTAAATTAGTCAGTTTCTTGGATCAGGAAGCTGAAACTCAGTATCGCGTATGTTAAAGACCATTGTTTTCTCAGCAGACCTTCAGCTATCAGGAAAACAGGATGAACCTTTTACCTGTTATTTACTCAGCCTCATCCTGCTGCTTTCTTTGATACCATGGACTTTTCTGGTACTCAGGTGGGGAAAGCCATTACAAAAGGCAGCGACAGAAACTGAGACGACATGGGGAAACTGGGCTGAGTCTAGGCCTCTGTAGAATACAGTTCCAAAATTCCTGGAGTCCAGACAGCAACTGCATAATCAGTCCTCTGCAACCTGCTTCGTGACCTACTGCTGCTCAGGGGAAGGGCTGTAACATTAGGTCATTTTCAGACCCTTTTTTCTATTAACAACTTGGTGAATATTGCCATGAAGCCACTTGTACTTGATTTGTAACTTTGAGGCCCAGAAAGGCGGAAGAAGCAAGGGGGAAACCCGCTACCGTTGCCATATTGTTGACACTTTCAGTCATTCACTTACTCTCATTATAGTATTTATAGATAAAGCTGACTAGATACACAAGTCATTGCGGAACAACAGTAAATAGAGATTATTTGGGGATCAGGTCCCATATCTACCGTTATCTTCTCGACATGGAATAACTAATAGTCTACACCTTCATTGATAATGGTTTTACTGAGGAAATTTAATGAAATATCATGACTTCATATTTAGCTGAATTAGAATTTTCGGTAACTTAGGGGATGAGGCTGAGGTTGAACCTAAACCCTTTTGCACAGATAGCCCTATATGAAAAATGACTAGTGTAATAGAGGTGGAGGAGAATGTTCTAAGTGCTTGATAGCTGACCTTTTAGTGCTGCAGAGCACCTCAGTTAAATTCTAGTAACAGAATCGTGTTACCGCCTGAAGACAGAATAAAGACGTCTAAGAGGCAGTGCTCTCTTATGAAGTTACATTAAAGTAAGAAAATAGCACTTGTTTTAGTTTAAGGTTGGGTAAGTATTGCCCTCTTTGGAGTCCCACCTTACCCTGTGGTCCGTTGTGAAACTCCTCATGCTCCCCTGATGGCAGTGCAGTGGTGTGCTAGCGTCTCCTCCTGGTGTTACAGAAAAACTATAGATCAGTCCCAGTCAGAACTAAGGCATTCACACACAGGCCAAATAGGAACTGGTGTTTACTGCCTGACCACTGACTTTTTTCTTGAGGGGAAAAAAAAGGAGAAGACACTATCAGAAGAAAAGAAATTGTCCTGGTCAACTTACTCACTAACTCTGTTTTTCAAAATGATGGACTCTTAGGTTGTTTTATGAAAGTAAAAGGGTGAAGAAAGAGTCCTCATTTTATGCACAAGGAAACTGGAAGCCTGAAAGAGTCATACAATTTCTGCATATCAGTAAAGTGTATTTTTTGTTATGAGCGGTGTGTAAAAAATATTAGTAAATAGAAAGCTCAGTAAACCGTGTCAATTTTCATACTCAGTGTTAGTTATGTAGCTCTATCATTTTGCTTTACTCTTTCCTTCAAAAACTGTCCTTTTTTTCTAAAAGGCCCGGATGTACTGAGGAGTATAGGAAGAGCCTTTGTCTAGGCTATGCAGTTCTACAGTTGGCTTCATTATCATATTGAATCAATATGGTCTTTAAAATATTCTTGTTTAGGCATCTATTGATGGAACTCTTAAGCCCAATAATAAGACTATACTTTTTCTCTGCAGGTGGTGACAAAGTGATAGATGTCATTGATGTGGCAAGGCAGGCAGACAGCAAAATGACACTTCACAATTATGTTAAATACTTCATGAATCCTAACAGACCAAAAGTGTTAAATGTGATCAGCCTTGAATTTTCAGATACAAAGTGAGTAGTTCTGGACATTTCGGTTTAGCATTTTGAGTGTTAGCTAAATATAGTGTAATGATAAATTTATTGTAGTAAGGAACATAATTTTAGCTTCTAAAATTGTCCAGTGGTAGCAATGATGTACGTTTTGCTTTGGCACACTCAACGTGTGTTTAGAAGTAAGATGTAAAACGTGTTCTAAACTGTAAGTGTTGCTAGCTTTGAGTTCCAGATTATTACTCAGTTTGGGTTGAGATGGGTGAAGCAGTTTTAACCCGTTTTAATTTGCTTTATGTGTGTGTGTGTGTGTGTGTGCGTGTGTGTGTATGTGTGTGTGTTTATTTTTAAAGGATGTCTGAATTGGTGGAGGTTCCTGATATAGCCAGAAAACTTTCCTGGGTAGAAAATTATTGGCCAGATGATTCAGTCTTTCCCAAGCCATTTGTTCAGAAATACTGTTTAATGGGAGTGCAAGACAGCTATACAGATTTCCACATTGACTTCGGGGGAACTTCAGTCTGGTACCATGTCCTCTGGGTAAGATTGGGGTAACTCGGGGCTGACAGGTGGCATGGTGGCTAAAGGCACTAGACTCCCACATGGCTGACTGTGGTTCAAGTCACGGACGTGGCGGCTTGCTTTCTCACTTTCTCTCTTTCTCTCTGACTCACTCTGGTCAAATTAAAATAAATAAAGAAAGAAAAGAAAAGAAATACTTCTTTAATGGGGACATCAGGTGGCTTGGTGGTTAAGGGTGCTGGACTCCCACATGGCGGACCATGGTTTGAGTCCTGGACCCCAGCTGCTTACTTTCTCATTTTCCCTCTCTCTCTTTCTTTCTCTCTCTGGCCAAGTTAAAACAAATAAATAAAATAAAGTTCAATAAAATAATTCTTGAAAAAAAAAGATTAGGGTAATTCTTTGTTCTCTTATTGGCAAAAACATATAACCATATTTTTCCAGTGGTACATTTATTTGCTGTAAATGACAGTGATTTCATTGAGGTGGCAAGACAGGCAGGCAGCAAAAGGGGGCAGTTTTTTTACTTTTTAAAATAGAATCTATCACTTGGCTTTTAGATATTATGATTTTTTTTTTAATCCCAAGTAGTGGAAGAGCGATGAGTTCTTTATTTCTCTTTAGATTTCTTTTTGTTATCACCCTGCCTTTTAAGTTGTTTTCTTTTAACCGTTTGTCTGTTTTTGTTCCCTCTTCCTACTAGTCAATCATCCATTAATCTCTGAATCAAGTACCTAAGGAGGAAAATTATACTAATAACTGCTGCTAACCTTAAGGTTGAGTTAGGACAGTTAATTGAATATGCCAGGAATGCACATGAAAGTAC